CGCCTCATGCTAACAGTAGTGACAGTGACCCTAGCCAAATGCAAAACTGGTGAAAAAGAGTCAGAAAAGATGAGGAGGGGAAAAAATGTCAGTGGCCTCCACCTGTAAAACCATTCCTGTTTTGATGGTCATCTCGTTGTTGCCCCTCTAGTGCACCTGTTGGTAATTCCATGAACACCAAAGTAGCTGAAACTGATTAACAACCCCCTCTGCTACTTACCTGCCAAATCAATATCCCAGAAGTTTAATTAACTTGATGCTATACTATTACAAAGTGTTCCTTTAATTTTTTGAGTAGTGCATATGTTTATTTGAAAAACTAGAACTTGCATATAACTTTGCATTGAATACATTGAATTTGCATAATGATCATGCTATGATCATTAGTAGTATGTATGCGATTTACTTGGTGCATATTTACTTGACTAGAAATAGCATAGAGTAGTGGAACTCTAACTTGAGTAAAAATTCTGGGTACTCTACTCATCTCTGTAGATTTCAAATTGATTTTCAGAAAGTCACATCTAATATTTTATAAGGTGTTGAACAAAAAAACAACAACCTTGCAATTCATGTAAATAAGCTGGTTGCAGAGGTATAATTGTACATTTATCAAAAAGGTCACTTATTGTCCAATCTTGCAGGTGCAGCTGCCTTCTCTGGTGCTGTAACCCATACACTGTCTCCAGCCCTCCTGGCTGTAGAGCTGACAGGTCAGTTCAGCCATGCTGTACCCATCCTCCTGTCCACTGTGCTGGCCAATGCCCTGGCACGCTCTGGGAACCGACCATCCTTCTATGATGCCATCTCTATCAGTAAGAAGCTTCCATACCTGCCCTCACTGAAGAAGGCGTGTCGCCAGTAAGAACAAACACAAAAATTATTAATATTATTATTTATATTATATTGGAAGAGCCCATTATAATCTGTAATATTGGCTTAGTGTCACTTCTTGGGAGATTTTCTTGTTTCACTCTTTTACATCAGCGTATATAACAGCAAATGGTTATATTAAAGCTCCAGAGGGATGCCAGTAGGGTTTTCCACAGCATTCATCTCTGCCTCTGAAATTATAAGTGCTTGGACTTTTAAATAATGAACGAGAGTTTTTCCTTTTTTAATGACTTTGGCTTAAAAATAGTTAATCATTATTTATTATTATTAAGTAATTGATGTGCATTATTCAACCGGCCATCAGAAGGTAGAATTAAAAAAACTGGAAAAAAAACTCAACTTGTTGATCAGTTCAGGTAACATTAGTATCCATCACTTCAAGACTATCGATTCAAATTTCGCCAAATATCAGTTCAGAAAGCACCAAAAATGTCCCACTGGGATTAATCAACAAATAGCAAATTTATCGACAAAATCACGTATTTTTACTTACAGAAAATACTACATTTTTATAAGCAAGTGTTTGTCAGCAGTTAACATTGAAATCCAAACTCTAAATGAGTAGCTGTGTCTAATAACCAACTTCAAGATTAAACTGGACCTAAATAACCAAATAAGAGCCAAATTAAAGAAACTTTTATGCAAATTTCATTAAATTTATACCAAAAAGGAAACCAAGACTGAACAAGAAATGTAATAATATGAAAGGGTTTTGGTACCAAAAATTAGAGATCTGAAAGATGGGATAGCCAAACCAAAGCTATGCAGAGTTGTGTCTGCGATCAGGACTGTTCAGACAAGATTGGAGAAATAAGATATCCGCATGGAGCAGCAGCACCTGAGGAACAAAGGACACACCTTAGATGGCCATGATGTTCAGATCCTGGACACAGATGGTTTGAAGGGTGAAGGAAAAGAGAAATATTTCTGCTGAACAGAAGGGAAGGATTACAGCATTCATGCATCTCTAACCCTAGTTTCATTATGATATTGATGGACAAGTTATTTGACATAACTGACTTCTGGGTAGTTGTAAAAACAAGCAAAATATAACAATAATAATATAATTTTAGATTTTCGGCTTGTTAGTTAATCCATTAAGATAAATGCTATGGCTGAAATGAACTTATTAAATGTGAATGTATCTGAGCTGGATCCTGTTTGTTTTGATCTAAAATCCCTAGAGATAATATTGTTTTTACATCAGTGCACTTAGAGGTATTATTTTGTTCTCAACTGTAAGCAATTTCTGCACTAGTTAGTGTGTTCAGCTAAAAAATAAACTGCCAATACCTGCAGCCCTTTAAGAGGCTTGTAAAATCGAGCCCACGGTTTAAATAAACTGAGCTTTAGCTAAGAACCCAAAAACAAACGATCATCAGAGCTGACACACATTACCAACTAATGATTATTATATAATTCTGTCACGATTTGTATGGAGGGTGGTTGAGGCCCCAATTTAGAGACTGAAAGGCAGAAGGGAATCTTGCAAATTTAATGAAGTAGCTGAGGAAAAATCCAAAAATCCACAAATACAAAGAACCCAAAAAAACAAAACATTGGGGAAAACTCACGTGGGAAGCCAGAGACGAGGGAAACAACAAAACAACAACAACAAGGAACCAGCACTGAGTGACTGCAGAGGTGGAGTATATAAGGCAAGGCAAGGCAAATTTATTTGTATTGCACAATTCAGTACAAAGACAATACAAAGTGCTTTACATGATTAAAATATAGGAAAATAAAACAGAATCAAAGCAAGTAGGGAAAAATAAATAAATGCAGAAACAAAAAAAAGAACATTAAAAACATTTGGACTAAAGAAAATAAAAAAGTTGAACTAATGATGTTTCAGTTGAACTGTTTAACTAGAACAGTCGAAGGCAATCCTAAACAAATATGTTTTTAAGGGAAGCAGAACAAAGAATGGATTATGAACTGAATAAGGAGCAGGTGTGAGTGGAGCTAACTAGAAGAAAGCCAAACAAGCACAAGAGGGCAAAACAGAGTAACTAAAGACTGCTGAATATAACGGAAAATAAACCAAAGACCAATAAAACAAAATAACTAATAATGAAAACTAAAAACTCAGAGTCCCAAAAGGGGAGAACCATGAGAAAGTCCCTGTATTCCATGTTCCCTCAGCTTTGATGGATGTATTATGCTAAACAGCTAAATGTAAAAAAATATATTCTGTCTGCACTTATTTACAAAAAAAGAGTTTTTCTCAAATTAGGAGCATAATTTGCATTTAGTGTTTTTGTTTTCATTGTCCCACTATCGTGGTTGGAGCTGGCATAAAGCTGGGCTTCTGCACCAAAATGCAGACAGCTACACCAGTTGAGCATGTTTGTGAAAGGGCTTATACTGATTAGGAAAAAAACAACAACACATTTACAAAAACAGATGATGTGCAAAAACTAAGGCGAACACAAGAAAACCAGTAGCAAACAAAGCAAAAGGCTTAAAAAGAAGAGAACAGCTGCAGACATGGGGTGAAAGAGAGAAAGTATTACCTGGGCAGACGGGGAGAAAGTGAGAAGAAATGAACATAACACAACAAAATACATCACTATACAACACTAAAAGGAATCAGAAGCTCAAAAACAAGGGAAAAAAGGATGCCTCAAAACAGCTTATTAGTAATAACACCTATTCCAGGTAATTTATGTCAAAATTTGAATTCAGAGGAAAAAAAAAAAAAAA